CCCCTTCTTTTGGGGGATCGATCTCTGTCTCTCCTTGGGGACCTATCTCGTCCTCTTCCTCTTCTGGGACTTCGGTCCCTCTTTTTCTCTTCTTTCCCTTTGTCTTTTTGGATGGATGAGTTCCCTACTTTTGAGAGGAGAACTTCTTCATTTTGTTTCAGCTAGCGTTGATTGACGAGGCGAAGGGCTTCCATCTCGTTATTCATGGAGAGACCCCCCATGGATGGATTGGTCTCTTGGTCGTTCTCAAGTTGTCTGCTATTAGTAGCTTCTTGTTGATCTTGCATCCGTGGTGGATTTGTCTAATTTCGGCTCATGTTTCGCATTGATACCATCAGTCACTGAAAGATCAATTTATTTATAACAGGAACAGTCGTTTTCCACAGACGGCGCCAAACTGATGGTGTATTTCAACGTGGATGAGCAAAAGGTGCAAGTAACGTGAGATGAGCGTGGATTAGAGCTTCAAGCCTCGTATATGATGAGGCAATCAAATATTGAGGGGATTAAATGGGTGTACACAGTAAAAATATAGTGGTTCATCGGCTCAAGAGCTCGGCTAGTCCACTCTTCAATGAAGGCTCTGGCTCCTTTTTCTTTATTGATCATACCAAAGATTTATAGAATGTAAGATGTGCTACTAGAGTTCTTGGTCATTCGGGCCCCCCCTTTTGTTAGTGGGTGTTACCTTGCATTTATAAGACCATTTCCTGCTAAGAAGGATCTTAACCGAGGTTATTGCCCTTATTTCATGGGCTTCTCCTTAATTCTTGTAAAACCCGAAAAAAAAAATTATTATTATTATTATTAAAATCCTAAAAAAAAAAGGGTAAAATAATAATTAATTGTTAAATTATGAGTCAAAAACATAAATTTCAGAAACAATAATAATAATAATAAGATATATATAAGTCTTCCACTTTTTATGTGTTCTACAGCCGGCGAGATAGAGAGAGTGAGAAAAAAAAAAGAGTTTTTATTTTTTTTTTCTCTTTTCTTCCTTCTCAGATCTAGGAAAATTTAACCGTTTAATCGCTTCGGGCCAAGAACTAAAGTTGCTCTACTCAGCGAGAGCTACGCAACCACACCAAATATTGTATTTTTCTTCGAAGGAATATCAAAGCCGATAATCTACGCCTAAAACTTAGGAAGCTAAATTTGGGCTTCCTTGGCGTTCTAGTAAGTGGTCTCACGCTATGAGAGGTAGGGTTTCCCCTATTTAGATTTAATTTCAACTTAAAATATGACATATGGAATGAGTAGATTATGAGTGTATATCATATGTTAGGTCTTGACTAGTGTGACTAGTGGGTCAAATATAGAATTTATAATTAATCTTGTGATTAATAAAATTCTATTGTGATTAACTTGGTATAAGTTAATGTTAGTAGTTTAAAGCATGTTAATTGTATGTTAGCATTACTTTATATTTTAATGGAAGATCAAGTTTAATAAAATTATTAACTTGTTATATGATTGTGAAATAATATATATATGTTAAATGATTATTTAACATATGATTATTTTGGTGGACTTGTGCTTATGTTAAACATGTTGTCATGTTGCAAGTCATAACATGCTTGAGATCGTGTTAAAATGTCATTACATTGTATTTCATTATGCATGGGTTGCACTACATTCATGGGCATTGACATGGGTGAGAGTGTATGCATGGTATGAAATCAATCACCACGTAGGTGGTTGAACGTGGACTCGGAAAAGTCGCACCAAGGTTCGGTTGAGTCGCACGAGAAATTAAATGGATAAATGTGTTGGGGACAGCACGAAGGGCTAGATTCTCCCTCGGGTGCAAGACCCGCTTACTTGGTTTATACACTTTCCGGCGGTGAAATTCCAAAAAAGTGTAACGGCGGAAACGGAGCCGCAGGTGGGATGTCCTGAAGATCCGTTGATGGTTGGTGTCCCATTGGTGTAATACCATAAATCATCTCCCCACAAAGACACAAGAAAATGAATTAATTAGCATTGAGTGTACATAACACCAATGATGGGGGCTTGGAATGCTCGGATACATACGCATGACATTGCATGTGTTATGGGAGCTCAGGATGGGGCTCGGGGTTGGTATTGCTTGCGTGAGTCTCATCTCATGGCATGACATGATCTATAACATTCAATCATAATAGACATATTTAAATGAATGTATCAAATGATTGTTGCATGTGACATTCCATATTCATTTAGGTTGAGAGGTATTCTCTATAGGAGTTACCCTATTGAGCGTTGGCTCACCCTTTATGAGAACATTTTTTAGGTATTGCACAGATTTCCACCGAAGGCGAGGCCATGGGCCCGCTTTGACGACAGAGCCGGTCTGTGGCTTTTATTTTGACATTGTAGTCCCTTGTTTATACTTACTTTTGACCTTGTATAATTTTGTAACAAACATTTGTTTATATTTACAATGGCATGTATATGGGACTTTTTTGGGGACATTTATTCTTTTACGAATAAATGTATGTACTGATAATGATTATGGTAGTATTCGAGACTATACAATTGTGAATGGATAGATAGACCCGGTGTGGTCAATATTGTACAGGTTGCGTTTTGAGTAGAGCTCCTTGTACAAACGAGACTCTGTCCAAATTTTGTTAAGTTATGGATCCCAAAAAATGGGCATAACGGTGTGATATCAAATTACACGATATCCACCAGTATTACACAGGTCGGTGGATAATCAATCGGATAATTACAGACACCCGGACTTTGGGGTGTCACAATTCTAGGAGAAGATCTTGGTTGGTTGAGATTGAGTGCCTTGATTACAGATTCCTAACGCTTTTAGGATCCTTTCGTGGTTATCCAGCTGTTATCTTGCCTTAAGAGACACTCGGCCTTTACCCTCTGACCTCTGCTAATGTGTCTGACCTCCTGGTCCGAGCTAACCTCCTGAGCTTAACACTTGAAATTTATTTTAGGTATGATCAACCACTATGCATAACCATCACCTCACACCTGCACAAACCACCATCATCACTATGCACCACCCCACCCATGCCCACCACTTCCAATTGACCTCTATCTCCACTCAAACCTAACTATTGCACAACACCATCACTTCGGCACCACCATAGACCACCTAAAACAAATACACAACATTCGCACCCATACACATAGACATACACCCACTGTCACATTCATCGCCACCCAACGCCCACATTAATTTGATAAAGTTAAATGTTAAATTAATAAAATTTAATATTCTATTTAATATAATTAAATTTTAATTTGATAAAATTGAATATCAATTTGGTATTGATTTAATAAAATTAAATATTAATTTAGTGTTAAATTAAAGAAATAATATTAATTTGATGAAATAAAATATTAAAATTAATGTATCTAAATGTTAATTTGATTAAATTAAATATCAATTTTATGTTGATTTGATGAGATTAAATGCTAATTTAGTTTAAATTAAAGAAAACACATTAATTTAATAAAATTAAATATTAAATTGAAGGTTCTGAAGGTTAATATAATAAAATTAAAAAAGAGTGTAGTAAAATTTTAAAATTAGGATGGAGTATCGTTGAAGTTAGGTCTCATTCACAAGGGGGTGCAGATGAGATTTACCTTATAAAATACAAAGAGATATTTTTGTACAACAATGCTTGCCATTAATTCCATAAGTCGACAACATCTGATAAGAGGTGTTGTAAAATTTTAAAATTGAAAGGGAATGTGATTGAATTTAAACTTAACTATAAGGAATGTGAATGAAATTTTTCCTTAATTATACTTTGACTTTTCAATTTATTATGGTGAGAATAAAAATGTCTATTGTTTTTTTTTGCAAAGATTATTTAATATCGACTTAGGATCACAACTAATTTTAAATATTTTATTCAATATCAACTCATTAATTTATTTTTATGAATTCTTCCACCGATTTGATTAAAAGATTGAACTCAAAATTATGTTAGAACTTATAATTGAATTCAATATTTAATTTTACTCGTTTTCACATGATTATTGGCTATTAATGTCATGTACTTATAAATCATGTTTTTTATAAATAAGCTCGAACTTTATTTAAAAAATTTTTAATACGATTCCATCCCCGATCTTAACGAATGGACCCAACTACACTATGAAGGATTCACACAAATTCAAGCAGATACTCTTTCTTAATAATATATTTTTTTAAATTATTATTTGGATCTAATTTGAGTTTCTAATTTAAGGATTTAGATTGTGAGCTCCACCTAACATTGAAACTCACAATTAATTTAATGGTTATATTGAAATCATATTATTAGGTCCTCAAATTAGATCCAAAAATAAGATCTCTATAAAATTGTTTTTTTTTTTTTTTGTTTAACAAAAATAAGACTCTTTGAGTCAGTTTACTCACATTTCAACTAATCTATTCTTTAATTTGATGATGTCATTTTGTGACTTGATTCTAAAAATTATTAAAATTTAAATTTAAAAATCATTTAGTCAAAATTAAAATATTATTCTATATGACCTAATTTAAAAATTTATGAAGATTCAGATTCAAAATATTTGATTTACCATTGGGTCTTGTTACTCAACCGTCACGCCCAAAAGCGCATGCCATGACATCCATTGAACTCTTTCCATTTCTATTTTTCATCCATAACAACAAGAACTCCCTCTTCATCCACTGGTGAGTGTTCGCACCATATCATCATAAAAATTTTCTCTTGAATCTCAAAAATGCATACCGGAAAACACAGACTTTAAGCATGATGACTGATACATAGCAATCGTAAAAACTTTCATCCGGCCATTAGTGTTCTTTTCTCGGTTCCAGATTTCAAAACGTTTCAAGAATATGATCGTCCCAATTAGATCACAAATATTCATGTATTTTTTTTTTCTATAATTTGAAACGATGTACTATAAACTCGATTAAAGAGTGTGTGTGTGTGTGGTGCTGTTGTCGTTTACTTTTGTTCTTGATTGGTGTGGTGATGGTGGCAGTGAGCTCAGAGGAGAATCGAAAAATGAAGTTGACTCCGAGAGAGGTGGAAAAACTAATGCTCCACAACGCTGGATTCCTAGCACAGAAGCGTCTGGCTCGTGGCCAAAGGCTCAATCATCCTGAAGCCGTAGCACTTATAGCAACACAAGTATTTACATTTTTTAGGCCTTTTCTTTGTCCTCTACTTCCATAAATTCCATTAATTTTAGCGAAAGTGATTTGTGTTTAAATCAAGTGGTTATTTGCCGAGCTTATGTGCATATAAGGATTTGATATGGTGGTAGCAATAGTAGAAAAGCAAAAATGTAATTATATACTTTTTGAANTTAAAAAATCACTTTTATTGAAGTTGTTGTGTTGACTGCTTCACAATGTTATCATTGCCTATTTTCCCCACTTCATGTATTTTGCTTAACCATCATTTTTGTAGTTAGTTAATTGATAGATTGGCTTTTGAAAAAATAAAAGTCAGCTTCTATTGTGTTGCCAGCTTCTTGCTTTCTGATGCAAACTTCCAACATTTCATATTCATTTCCTTTTCTTTTAGTTCACCATAGTTAAGTTTCTATTTAGTATTTATCTTCTTTGTGGGAATCTTTTAATTTTTTGGCTTCCCCTTTATGTGTTCTGATTCTACGTTTAGGTTGAGGGGACCTTTCCTGACGGGACAAAGTTAATCACCATCCATGATCCGATTGCTAGTGAAAATGGAAATCTAGAGCTAGCTTTATATGGATCTTTTCTCCCAGGTAGGATGCTGTATTTTTGAGCTGTGTTTTAGGGAAATTTGTTTATTATGTTTGGTAAGCATGAGCATACGACAATTTTACTATTGTTTGCTTCCCACTTACTCTGTTGTCAAGGCATTTTGTGTCCATAACTAGGATTTGAACTTATGCTTTAGGCGAGTTTTTGCAAGTTCATTCTCTGTACTTGATTGCAATAGCTGCGTCCTGACATTCATCTTGCAGCGCCATATGAAGCTTTAAGTGAGCTTAAGTAAGCCATGGTTAGCACATTAAATTGTCCCTGTTGTTGTGAAACTCAAAACTNCGCCATATGAAGCTTTAAGTGAGCTTAAGTAAGCCATGGTTAGCACATTAAATTGTCTCTGTTGTTGTGAAACTCAAAACTTACAGGCAGCTTGAAAAATGCACTAACCACAGTCAGTCTTCTACAGTAAGGGTGCATTGGATAAAAGGTTGCATCAACTAAATGCAGTGGATGAAAGGCAACTTTGCCTACATTTCTTCATGATTCAGACCATCATGCTGCTCTTTGTGTCAATATTCAAGATGCCATGGATTTGGATGGAAACTGGCTGCAGACGACATTGACAGTTGATTTGAGTAGCATGGGGTTGGATAAGAGCTTAACAGTTAATGAAAATAGAGTTTAAAGTTGATTGTAATCAAATCAGTAACTGCTTTGTTTATATCAGCTATGTCACCGTGCTATTGTTAGTTTTATTTCAAGTATCTGTCAATTTATGGAAGCCCCTTTAGCTTTAAATGGATTTTTAGGCCCATCTGTGAGAAACCCATGGGGACACTAAGGAGCTTTATTGTTTTTGAGTCACAACCTTCGTCAGAAGGACTTGCAGATTTTGAGCTAGAGGTTGAATTGAATATACTCGCTGCTCCCCACCANATCTGTCAATTTATGGAAGCCCCTTTAGCTTTAAATGGATTTTTAGGCCCATCTGTGAGAAACCCATGGGGACACTAAGGAGCTTTATTGTTTTTGAGTCACAACCTTCGTCAGAAAGACTTGCAGATTTTGAGCAAGAGGTTGAATTGAATATACTCGCTGCTCCCCACCACTTGAGTACAACTTTTCTTGACAAAATGTTATGTTACTGTTTTCTACTTTCCCCTGACTTTTGCACTTAATTTTTTTTATGTCCTAGCTTAATTTGTTGCTTTTCATTATGAAGATTATTTTCTATATTTTTGTGATGTTAGATTGTTGGTGCATTATGCACACTATTTTTCTTATGATAATCATTCAGCGAGACACATTCTATATATGTTGGTTCTTCTTTTTCTTAAAGGCATTGATGAACGTTAGTTGTGCAGTTCCTTCACTAGACAAGTTTCCCATAGTAGAGGATGATCAAATTCCTGGTGAACTGAGCTGTAATTCTATATATGTTGGTTCCACTTTTTCTAAAAGGCATTGATGAACGTTAGTTGTGCAGTTCCTTCACTAGACAAGTTTCCCATAGTAGAGGATGATCAAATTCCTGGTGAACTGAGCTGTAAAGGTGGATGTATCATGCTTAATTGTGGAAGGAAAGCAGTGATCCTTAAAGTCACTAATACTGGAGACAGGCCAATACAGGTGGTTACCTTTTATACAATTTCTGATTTTGTTGCATCATCACTGCTTATACTTGCTGCATTATTTGTGTTGATTAGCAGGTTTGTTGTATATGCTTATTTGTGATTAAGTTGTTATGTTTTACATGCAGCACCAAGTTTGTGCAGATAAAGAGAGTTTTTCTTTTGGAAATATTGAACTCTGTGATGAGTGGCAAATATGCTTTACACATTACTTAATTGGTTGGCAGGAAGATGAAATGTTATCTGTTCAGATANTTGTTGTATATGCTTATTTGTGATTAAGTTGTTATGTTTTACATGCAGCACCAAGGTTGTGCAGATAAAGAGAGTTTTTCTTTTGGAAATATTGAACTCTGTGATGAGTGGCAAATACGCTTTACACATTACTTAATTGGTTGGCAGGAAGATGAAATGTTATCTGTTCAGATAATTTTCTATGCTCCCAAAGTTGTTATTCTAGTCTTCTTTAGGTCATTGAGATAATGCACTGACAATTCATAACATGGAGAGCTCTCCTACTGATATGAAAGTTGATGGTATTTCCTTTGGTTGAGTTGTTCCTTCTCATCCCTTGCAGGCTACACATCTCATGTTATAAAAGACATTAAATTGTTCTGATGTATAAATTTAGTTTCTTTCATGTTAATCAAAATACTACGATGTTTCTGTTTAAAATTTGATCTACTTAACATCTTGTCTCCTTTATGCAACATAAATCGTCAGTAAAGTGATGACAATCATAAAATCATTCAGGTTGGCAGCCATTATCCTTTTATTGAGGTGAACCCTTACTTGGTTTTTGATCGAAGGAAAGCATATGGCATGCGGTTGAATATACCAGCAGGGACAGCTATACGTTTTGAGGTAGGACCTTTTGACCTCATTGAAATTAAGTTTGCAGTGTACCTAAGGTCCTAAACTATATTTTTATAATTTATATTAGAATCTAAAATAGAAATGCTTGTTCTTCTGTTTCTTTTAATGTACAAATTTACCATATAAGGGTGATACATAAAACAACTGTTCTGGACGTTGTAAGCAGTAGAGAAGGATTGGTGGAACTGTAACTTGCTGTTGGAGTTCTGTGTGACAGTTCACCTCTCAAAAAGTAAAGAGGGTAGCACAAATCAAAGGCATGATTTGTTGAACTTGTCTAAAGCACAATTGGTAGTGTGCAATAAGGACCTTTGGCTATGTGAGTGGGGAATATGTGGTTAGGTTCTATAAGAATGAGGTGAATGCCAAAGAAACGTGGTTGAGTCTGTGAGAACAGAAATAATGCTCCATGATTCAATGAGATTTTTGCTATATTACACTATAGTGTTCCTTTTGTATCCTTTTTCAAATTAGTGTATCTTTACCTCATCATATTGTATTTGAGTAATCTGGTTCTTGTAACTCTTGCGTGCTTTGATCTGTGAAACTATACCTATATGTCTTTTACTTTGCTAGCCAGGGGACACAAAAAGTGTGACTCTTGTGAAAATTGGGGGTAGGCAAGTTATCAGAGGAGGAAGCAGCATTGCTGATGGTCCTTTTGATCATGGCAATATCAGAATATTAATGGAAGCTGTGCAAGCAAGAGGATTTGGGCATTCTGAAGAAACAAGTGCCAGGTTTAAAAGATCAGCCAACCAATTCTGTATTACCTTTGTTCATGTTGCTTTAGTGTCCCTTATGAAGTTTAGTGGTTCTGCCCTGCCAATATGGTTATAGATAATGGTGCTTTATTTTGACCAACTTTGCAGTGAAGGTGCTATCCAAGAAGGATCTGCTTTTACGAATTCAATTTCTCGCGAAGCCTATGCTAACATGTATGGTCCTACCACCGGAGACAAAGTTCGGCTTGGTGACACTGACTTGTTTGCAGAAATTGAAAGAGACTTTGCTGTTTATGGTGATGAGTGCATATTCGGAGGTGGAAAAGTTTTAAGGGATGGAATGGGACAGGCTTGTGGGTGTCTGCCAGCTTATTGTCTGGACACTGTTATCACAAATGCTGTGATCATTGATTATACGGGAATTTTCAAGGCAGATATTGGTATTAGAGGAGGTCTTATTGTTTTCCTTGGGAAAGCAGGCAACCCAGATATCATGGATGGTGTATCACATGACAAAATAATTGGTGTGAGTTCGGTCTCATTTCCAGGTAACAGTGGTGGGGTTGTGATCAACCACTGGGCTGACACTCTAGGTTTCCTCTTTTTCAAATAGGTTAACACTGAAGTCATTGCGGGAGAAGGAATGATCGTTACAGCAGGAGGAATCGACTGTCATGTGCACTTCATATGCCCGCAACTGGCTTATGAGTCGATATCAAGCGGTGAGATTTCTACTTGATTCAGGAATAACGTGCTGGGGAACCATTTGGTGACAGGTTATCTAGTCCGGTACATCAAGATGCTAATGTATTGTTTGCATTCATATCTAGACACTTTCTTTGGCACATTGTATGTTAGTTATAATGGATCTATTGAGTCAGCAACTTGCATGTCACCTCCTAAAGTTGGAGTCTAAAAAGCATGGACATGAACTTGGGATACGAATGCGACATGACTTGGGCATGCTAACACATAAAATGCTAAAAATGTAAGGAATGGGCACAGCGAGTACATGCTTAAAATTTGACACAATTGATCTGCAAACAAAATCTTATATCAAGTGTGTGTTTTAACTTATGATTATGAGTTGTAATTCAAAAATCACCCATCTTGTATATACAATGCATAAAAGAATTCATAAATTATGCTGTTACACATAATCTGGCAACTCCCTTCCTTTAAATCTGACCTTCATGTCCTAGCCAAAAATGTGAAGTTGGTGAAACCTAAGCATAGCTATGTCACGTGAAGGGAAGAACTTTTAGACACCTTCTCCAATTATTTCCCAGAGCACGAGGGTTGGGTAAACCATGTCAGCTGGACAGCTATAATAAAGAGTTTAGAGTGCATTCTCCAGAGGGGGCCCCTCTTCCTTGGGAGTCGCAATGTCAATTCCGTTGATCAACGGCCATATTTTTAGCACAAACACAGTGACCTTTGCTATGGACCTTCAATGCAATTACTTTTAAAAAATTGTACTTTTGTTTGTGATTTGATCAAGTTATATTTTGACCTTTGAGTTTAGTTCATCATTGGGCAATGCTACATAAACTTAAAAAGTAGACTTAAAAACTAGACCTGATAATTACAACCACTGATTTCACTGTGGTCCCAGTATTTATTGGGACCCATTACTTATTCAATGATTGGGATTATCAAGTCTAATTTTTATTCTAGTTTTTAAGTCTATCTAGCATTACTCTTAATCATATGTTGTTGAGTGTTCAAGTCTTCAAGAAGTTCGGCCATATGCCCAAATCATGATTTTATTGTTTAACGTGGACATAACCAAAGGGGAGTCTCAGTCTCTGAGAAATGGCAGTGTCCGACATGGATATGTGGCCTTTTTTAGGATTGGCCAATTGTGCTGGAAAGATTATAATTCTTAGTGCTGGAAAGTAGTGCCTTATGTTGAGTAAATCTCTTGTAAACACTTCCAGACATCATTCTATCGTAAATGAAGCCTTGTATTGGGAGTAGTTGCTTTTGGTGGAATGTGCAGAATATAGTGATCCAACGGGTTTGCTACATTTATTCGTATTCTACAAAAGAAGTATCTAAGCATGAAACCTTGGGTCCAAACCATCATTTGCGATCGTAACAAAGGCTGCAGCTTGAGGCAGAAGAATACACGACAAGCACACTCATCGATCAACACTCCCGTTGCATATATGTAAAGTTGCCTTCTTGCTGGTTATTTTTCAAAATCAAGAAGAATTTTTTTCATAAACCTTTTGAACCAATCGGATGACACCGCCTATGTAGGTTCTATTTGGGATCAATGTCCGTAGTGCTTCCTATTCAGTTATTGACATATAGCCAGAATGTAACAGCAACATGTTAAGATTTACTGAAGGCTAATTTATGAGGCTAAAAAAACCTAAATCTTACATCTTTCAGCTTATTTTAAGGAGCTGTTCTTATTGTACAAATTTGTGGAAATGGTGGCAAATGGAAAATATAAGGTAGGCGATAGGAGGTTGTTGAACTTCTGCCAGTGTATTAGAAAGCTACCAGATCTCTGCATTGCCTGCTGCTCTCATCCCTGTTCTAGAACTTTACTGCATGCCCTTGATTTGGACAATTTAGTCTTCAATTCTGTTTCACACGATCAACTTCCAAAACCACACTAATGGCCAGAAACAGGAGGATGGTTGCATTAGGCAGCTTGATGATAATGTTATCAACCCCTTATTGACCTGTTCTGACCATATGCAAGTTAAGTCCATATGGAGTTGAATTGAAGTGGAGCATGAAATGAGTTCCTCCATTAAACTGGCAATCTTTCCAAGCTAGTGGGAAATAACGGACGACCTAGCGGTTAAGACTTGTCCTCAACTAAACTGGCTTTCCCAGTCTTTATATGATGACTTGGAATCCTTCTCTATCCACTTCTTTTTATGTATTCCAGAACATTACCTTTCGAGAACTGCTTGTCTATTTTTGAGGAATAAGATAAATCTATTAACTACTTTCTCTTGAGTTTTTGTAGTCTTTCTCCCTAAACTTCACAACATATGTAGGCATCACAACATTAGTAGGAGGTGGAACGGGCCCTGCTGATGGGACACGAGCAACTACTTGTACACCAGCACCATCACATATGAAATTGATGCTGCAATCTACAGATGACCTGCCACTAAATTTTGGGTTCACAGGAAAAGTATGATTTATTTGTTTAACTCATGGTTATTTCTTCCTGTTTTTTTTGGCTTGTACTGTTGTACATGTTAAAGCATATGCACACTCACGCATGCTCAGACATGCACTCACACATTGTTTAGTCATCTCTCTCTGTGCAACATTTTAAAGAGCTTGTTTGTGGAAAATGTTTTGCCTCTTTAGGGGAACAGTGCCAAGCCAGATGGGCTACATGAAATAATCAAGGCTGGAGCAATGGGACTGAAGCTTCATGAGGATTGGGGAACTACTCCTGCTGCTATAGACAATTGTTTGACTGTTGCAGATCAATATGACATTCAGGTTACTATTTTTCCAAAAGGGAATCTGGGCTTCTAATGCTATTGCGGATTCTAGTTACCTTTTATTGACTTAGTGAAATTGACAGGTTAATATCCACGCAGATACCTTGAATGAATCTGGATTTGTGGAGCACACAATTGCTGCGATTAAAGATAGAACTATTCATACTTACCACAGGTATAAAGTGCAAAACCCTTCCCCTGCATGGTGGCCTGTGCGGTCGCGCACAGAAAACTTAAAAGAAAACATAAAAGCAGACACTTACTGTGACTTCAAAATAGTATCTCAATATTCATTAACCTTGTGTAAATCAAAAAAGTCTTTCGATAACTTTGTCCCAATTTTGGATCATACTCATTGTGGCAATTTTGTGTCCAGTTCTTTGTTTAAACTTTGCCGAGACTAAGACATGTTTTATTACCGGGTAACCAGTGTACTATCTTTTGTATTGTTGAGATTGGAAGTTGTATTTTGCTAGTCTTCGGTGTGTTTGGAAGTTGTGAAGCTGAAGAGTGAGAGCGAGAAAGAGAATGACAATGAGAAACTCACTTTTGTTGGAAAGATTCTAGTTATGAAGAATAGTATGGAGAACTGAGTACTTGAGGCCTCGTGGGGGAATTTTGTTGGGAGATGGGAACCTAGCTCTTGTAGTGTTATGGTACCTTCTTTCTGAGCTTTATTCTCTAGGCTGTGGTGAAGCTCCCTTTCTTTCTTGATTTCTATTTGATCTTGATGGCACAAGTGGCTTGAAGTCTTTTTTTCTTTTTTCTCATGAGGAGATCCCTTACCCGAACTTGTTTCCTATGTTGTGTTAGAGGTGGAGGCATACTCGCCAACAGTTTCACCCAAAATCCCCATCCTTGAAAGTAGGGAACAGAAATCAGTAGAACCCCCCCCCCCCCCCCCGGG